GTGCCGAGGAAGAGACTCCATTAAAGTGGGGGTACTTTTTAAATTAAGGCCCAAGCATATGCATTAGTCGGGTCAGTTGATGAAGCGAAGTCGGTTAGCAAACATCTTTTATTCTAATTCTAGTCTAAGTGTGAGCAGTGATAGTAATTAAAATCTTCCAAAATGGCATCATTGGGAAACGGCAATAGAAAGTATCTCCTAGAGAAAGTATCTTGTAAAAAAGTAGAATTCTTCTCTTTTTTAACAGTTTTTACTTTTAGAAACCACACTAACATGGCCAAAATTGATCACAATCTACCTAGCATGATTTTCTAGGCAAGTCAAAATTCCAAAATTAATTCATATCTGTTTACGGTATAGAATTCCAATCCAATAAAACACTTATTGAAACTTGGTGTCATATCATTTTGTTTCTTTTAGTCTTGGTTACAGCTGCAACCTTAGACGACACTTGACTATGTATGTTCTTCATTCACTAAACTGACTTTATTTTTTTCGTCAGCACAATTTTATTCTAATTTTGGATATTTTGATTTAAAGAAGATCATATAGAGATCCCATCCTCTTTCCAGAGATTGACGCTATACTCAAATGCTGTTGAACAATCTTTTCTCTCATAATATTAGAATTTAAAGAAAATCTTTGAATTGCGTACATTATTTCACTTTAATTTCACTTTATTACTTTTAATAAATATATTTTGGGCTAAGAAAATACTTGAAATTGATTTTGTTTCACATTATTATGTCACATAAATTTGATTAAAAACTAAGAACATTAGAAAAAGAAGTTTCACTTCTACACTCTGAATATATCTTTTAATGTTATACATCTCTAAATACTGAAACTTGACTGTACTTAATTACTTTTTAAGTACTGTACTGTACTGCACTCTCATTAAATGATAAATATTTCACTGTGCAATTACTTTTCGACAAACTTTACACTTGAAACTTTAACCTTTTACAACTTTTAACATCAAACTTAACAAAACAATAAACAATATACTGATTTTACCTTGATTAGTTATTGCATTTGGTTAGGTATTGAACACTTTTACCTCAACTACACCAAACTACGAACAGTACTCTGATTTCAGCTTGGTTAAGTACTACACTTGTGATGTGATAATCTTTTGCCCAAAAAAATAGAGTGTACTGTGTAATTAAAATTCAATGTTGACAATTGTGTATTCTGTGGTAGTCACAAGATGTCATTGTAATCAGCGCCGGCCAGCGGGCCAGCGGCCGGGATGACGATTGATGAGTGATACTGATGAGTGACACGGGGCGCCACGTTACGCACCATCATAACTTAGTGAGGTAAGATTGTAAAGACCAAAAAAAGGCAATAAGAACTGTCAGAAACATCACATGATCGATTTGCAGAGAAACGACGGTATTCATCTGCATGAACAAACGGACGCAACGCGCATCGACCCTATATCTCAGATTTACGCCCTATGTTGTTCTTTCCAAATAATATTGTTTCATTAATTCTGTATTTATTTATTCATGCTCTGGATCCATGAAAACTTGATCATCTTCAAAACCGTTGTGATCCTGTAAGCTGTTATGTAGGCTGTATACGTTTACGCGGCATGTCCCGTAAAAATTTATACAATATATGAACATCGCGAAAGTCGTTGGGTCGAGATCGGCTGAAATTAAAATACGCCATGGGTCAAATCCTCTCTTTCTCTCTCAAACCAAGATTTTATCATCTGTTTATAATGCATCGTATACATGCGTAAGTGTGTTGATGTACATCATCTCCGGCCCTCTCATATCTCTTTCTGCAAATGCGTCCGGTGCATTTATGTACACTATAAAATATGTATTGTAAGAAACAAACGGTGGCTCCGCGCGAATTGCTTAAAATTGATAATGCTTCTCACTTTCTATATATATGTTCATAAGTATGCATATCGGTGTAGTAACTTCAACTACAGCGAGATCCTCGGGAACAGCACAACTGAGATTTGATTGTAACGATTTTTATCCTATAGACTACTTTCATGTTTGCGACTTTCAATTTCTCTCTCTCTCTTTCTGATGCTGCTGTTGTGTGTCGAATCTAGTCGAGTGCGCACAGTACGGAACGAACGCAGTGATTCCCTTTTTTGTTTGTTTGTTCATTCGTTTCGTATTAACCCTCTCTGCGATATTTGCATATTTCCAACAATTGACTTTCGACGTTGTTTTATGTATCTCGCGCGCAACTATTGTTGTTTTTTTTCGGGCAATCGTGCACGCGTTCGAGAATCTAATTACAGCTACGATCAACTGGAGAACCAAAATACGCAACACGACGTTTTGTAAATTTTTTAGACTTCCGCGGCATCGTTGGTTAATGAAGCTGCATGAATCGCTACAATAAAATACGATGTATCAAGGATGGCCACATATTGTTCATTTTATGATCACGATTGTGTATACGGCGTCTCTCCACGAGCATCTTGTATGTATATTATACGCGACGAAAATTCATCGCTATAACACGATGAATAATAGGCTCGAACGAGCGCCAAAGACATTTTTTTCGAGATTTTAAAGCAGAGCTAAAAGCTTGTGCCAAGTCAGGAGCGTCGACTCCTCTCCGTCGTCGTACTTCGTCTCGCGTGCACCCTCGCGTTCCTGGAGTAGTAACGCAGTCATCTACCAAACGCTAAATTATAGTACGCGTAACACGCGGAGCTGCGTCGGGACGCGGCGTATAAGAAAAGCACGATCCAGCCAAGAAAAAAAGCACGAGTAAGCATAGGACGCCGTGATCCTTGTCGAGGAGCAACGTGGTTTCCAATGTACGCAACGGAATCAAGAGCGGCGTTTTCCGATATTATAGAGTACACGGCCAAGAAAAAAGGTATATAAGAGTGCGGAGCACAGAAGAATGAAAAACAGCTGTGAAAAATGTATTACTTTTCGATAATCTAATTTTCGCAGATGAAAAGCTCCCCGCGCACGAACGAGATTTAGTTTCCCGGAAGCCAATCTCACCTCGACGCGTGAATACAGGATACGGGCACGAAGTGAAATTAATCGATCAAAATGAGGGGATACAGAAGTTTCGGGTATACGAGATGAGGAAGCACGGTATAGCTCGAGTTGTTCTACTAGGCCATCGTGAATCCCCGTCCAGCACGACCTCGTCCGGCATAGTTAGCAATATTATACACTCACATAAATAAATATGTAAAAACTCAAACTTGTTATTCTCTTACAACAATAATAATAATTATAATAAAATACGTCGAGTCGTCTTTTTGTATACGAATATTATACGCAGCACCGGAAACCATATCGAAAGAAGATAAAGTCGCGAGGCAAAAAACACTGCAAACATACACACACACATGTATACGTCACGCGGCGCAAAAAGATTGTCACGATCTGGTCGAATCCAACATTTGTCGTCACTCTCACATTGCAGTAGGTACATGCAGTAGAAATACGTTTTTTAAACGTCGACTTGAATCGATATAATAATCATCCACACGAGCATCGGCGGCCGTTTAATCAGGTATAATGCTCGTTGCTCGTATGTACCGTTTCTACTCCTCCGCGTCTCTAGCATGTTTATAGAGTGCATAAAACGCATTTCCACGCGAGCCGATCGCTGCTATAATATAATATATACACTCAGTTACGCATCGTCTTCATGTGCATGTTTGCGCGTGTGTGTTTATATCTGCGTCAGCTTAATGCTGCGTGCGATGCATTAAACATACGCGAAGGTCCGGCGCCGATACTCATCCTTCCTTTTTTTGCTTCCCATATATCTATATCTGTATACGATACGGAACGATAAAAATCGTAATCCTCGCGCGACACGCTTCATTGAAAGACAATCGCGTTTGAGCTGTGCGCGCCTGCGAGGAATCAACCAGTACGTACGATGCTCGCCTGACACGCGATCGATTGTAATTTTAGTCAGGTGCGATTGATATTATTTCCTACTCGACAGTACGACATTCGATGCGTTGAATAAAAAAACATAAACATTAGTTTAACGGTTGAACGAAGAAGCTACGAGTATAGACAAGCTAGTAAGAATTGAACGAGCCTTTGTTTAGAAAGTCAAAGTTCTATTTTTTTCTGACGGCAAGATCTTAGCGCGTTCTTTAATAGCACGTATATCCCTTTATCGGAACAACGCAAAGTTTGTTAATAAAATTTAATATTGAGGAAGCGATATGTAAGCTCCGTATACAGCGAGATAAGACATTTCGATGATAAGAGATTAATTTTCAATTTCGAAATCCATTAGACTTTTTACTTCATCGCGAGGCTTGTTTGCGAATGAGCTTCTTTTGTCTGATATGTTCACTGATGTGTGTGTGAGCGAATAACGAGTGTAAAACGGCTAGTCTAAAACTTGACAACAATCGATCTGGACCTATTTTTGTTTATTTTTAGATGTCTAGTAGTAGTTGGTTCGTATTCGAGTGGAGCAGCAGTTGTATATTGATGCAAGCTCGAAACTCGCTCGATTCACTGGGAATGCTTACACGAATTTTTTTTTTACTTTTTTTTTTCTCGTCGACTCAAGGTCATCTCGACGAAATCTCTCTCGCGGCTCGATGATTTACGAACTCTCGGGGGCTTTATTATTATGCAGAAAGTTTTTTTAAACGAACGCGTATGTTTTGTAATAGCTCCGCCAGATTAGATGAATTATTGTCGCACGTGGGTGTGTATAATGCGATTGTCGCGAAAGAGAATTGCACATGTACAAAGTACAAATGCGCGTTGCTGAAACATGCACTCGTCGAGCTGAACCATAACAAAGGACTGACTATATAGAACGATCCAAGTTTTTCACGAAAATAGAGCGTCAATGGACAATGGAGCTTTTCATTCGTTTCTTTGTTTTTCCATCCACGTCCATCGGGTCGTCGTTATAAAGCTCGAGTTGGATATAATCATCGCAATATATGTTACATGCACAAACGCATCGATATTTTATCGCGTGTTGTAAAAGTATACGTGTACAAGTACCTGGACAGCTGGTGGAGCAATGATGATGGCAGGGACAATTGCAGCAGCCACCGCCGCCGCTACGACCGGACGACTTTCTCCGAGCCACTACCGGAGCATCGGAGATCATATCAACGAGCCTGAAAAGCTCGTCGCAGCACTATTATCGTGCTCGTGCTTCGGCGCGCCTGGGGCAGCAGCAGTTCGTATATATAATGCAGCGGAGCCAGTGCAGCAGTCGCGCACATGTGCACCAGCAGCAGCAGCAGACACGAGACAACGCACACTCACACACTTGTGCATACGCGACAAAGGTGCATAATAATAATGAGAGATAGTGTGTAAGAACTTTTGAGGCGAAAAGGCGCGTGTTTACACGAGCGAGTTAGGCTACCAGTAACTCGGTGAAAACTCCACTATAATTGTTAGACGACACTCTTATATTATACATACAGACGACGAGGATGGACGAGGAGCAGCAGTATACCTACACACTGCACACGTACGGGCGTTACTGGCGAGCTCATTATTTTGCACGATTCGCTTGCAGGCGTGCGCCGCAGAGCTTGGCTCTCTCTCTCTCTCTCTCGCGCAAATGTGTGTATTTTTTTTTCGCGTACATTTACACGCGCGCACAAACACATGCACGGAGAACAACACTCGCTGCTTTATAATCAGCAGTGTGTCACAGCACACTGTGCACAGGTTGATTTTGGATCGTCGTCGTGTAGGTGTATTATAAAATGCGTCACGTGGTTCCTCGTCGAGCGCGAGACTGCTCACACATACACACACGGAACAACACGGAGTCGATGAGTTATGCTCTTTATTGCGGCATACAATAGCTCAGCGAGTTGCACTCGACGATGACGACGCGCAGCTCTTACATGCGAGAACGACAGGAGCATGCACGGAATTGCATAGATATAGAATTTTGATATACGCCTATGTAATGGAACGTGCTTGAGCTCGTTGCTGATACTCTAACTTTCCGTGTTTCGGTAGCTCGCCTACGTCGCGTTTACGCGCCTACAATGTGTATATAAAGTACTATGTATATCTATACACGCGCTCATGCTAAAAAGAGAGAGAGAGAACACATTTTTTATACATCTATTCGCGCTCGTGCTAATACACTGACGTATCGCACGGTCTCTCTCTCTCTCTCTCTTTCTCTGACGCGCTTCCAGCAAGCGCAGATCGATAAAATTCAGCGCCGTCGCCACCAACGCTACTACTACCCGTCGTACTATCCGTCGACGCTGAACTGCTGCTGCCGCCGACGGGCAGCAGCACTGCAATCGTCATCCGCACAGGCTTTGAATGCGAATAAAAGCTCGGCATCGCAGAGCTCCCACTTGCTAAAGCTGCACGACGCATATACGTATGTATAGTCGACTTGTTTCGCGCGCGCAAGCTCGATGTACACACAATTCTGCTCTGCAGCGACAATTTGCATTGGAATTTTGTCAATTTTTAAATGTTTCTATCACCGTCAATTTCGATCGTATCGAGATGATTTTTTTTACTTTTCTTGAAAATTTTCTGTACATAAAGGGTTTACGAAAACTTTTGTTTTTTTAATTGTATTTCAGAAAGAAAAAATTCAATAACTTGGAAATTCATAATGAAATGAATGAATGCAATATGGTGTCATGAAATGGCCATATAAATCAAAACAGTTGAAATTATTATTTCTTTTAATTGTAAACTATGTTTATATGGGATAAGTTCTATATGAGTCAAGAAACATGGTTTTTCTCTAATTTTCCTTGATTTTTTATTAAAATCTAGCTGAATAATAAAGTCTGTTTGTCTGCCGATAACAAAAATTTGTCAGAAATTGTATTTTGATGTATTGATGAACATATTACAACATTGTTCATATCGCTGGATACGAACATGTTTATATTTGCACAGTTATATGATTAATGCAGGAAAATATCATTTTTATGGGGATTCCACTTGTTAATATGATTTTTGAGTACAAAATTGAATTCTACATCAAATTTTTCATTAAAACCCATGATTCAACAATTTTTTCATATTAACCCTAGAAAATCAGAATTGTAAGCAGAATATGAGCAGAAAATAGTATATTTTGTAACAAGTGCGCGAAGCAGTTGACTCACCCAGGAGTCTTTGCACCCTCGCTACGCTTGGGTGAAAACAACTCCTGGATGAGTCAACTTCTTCGCGAACTAGTTGCAAACGATATTTTTTAACTCTGCTTGCGAGGAACTAGGGTTTTCTGACGCTTTAAGATTAGAAAACCCGTGTATCGAGCACGCAATGTTAAAAAGAAAATTCAACTTTAAGACCCTGAAAATCCAATTATATTATTTTTATCATAATACTAAATATTGTGATTGGATTGACTGGCCACGGCATTTCATGGTGAGTTTTAATTGAATTTGAACTTTGGAATCTCAAAATCTTCAATAAGTATACTGATCACCCTTAGCACAGCTACCCGGAAAAAATTGACGAAAAAACTTTCAAGTCAATTTTCTTGGGTAAAGTGGAAAATTTCGGGAAATCTGAGCTTATCATCGGAAAGCTGAGGCAATTTTCCATCAAAATGTGGTGTTACTTTTATCTTCTAGGTGCATTTAGGTAATTTTACAGCGTGTTATAAATTTAGCAATTCGACTATATAATGCCGCGCCATGCGGGACTCGGAGAGTTAACGTGAAATGTTGTTTATAAACACTTGTTTATCAACTTTTAAATAGGATTTAAATTGCTAAATTCATATTTAAGTATGTACTTTCAATTAAAAATTATAAACGTACAAAATTCATTGAGCAAAATTTATTATTTTCCACATTGATCGTATTTCCCATGTTATTTGGTCAAATTTTCCCTAATACGCTGGTACAGAATTTGGCCCCTACGCGGCGTGACGGTATCGTTCAGTCTTCAATATGAGCATGGCAAATGACTGCTGATTCAAACACTCACACTCGAATCGTGTACGTACACGCATGCATGCGTGTATTCGGGCTCGGTCGAATCAAAATAAAATAAAATTGACAACTTGGAATTAACTTTTTTGAAAAAGTGTTTGGCAAGTGTTTCCAATTTTTGAGATAGGTTTTAGTACATAAAGAAAAACCACATTCTAGTTTTTTGAAAAGATTCCATCTTCGTTTTTTTTTTTAATAATCACTCAAAGTAGTGTATTTTTGAGGTTAGGATAAGGATCCTGCGTTAAAATTCTGAGCATTCCTACACTTACGTGGCACCTAGATCGCTGGTGATGCTCGCTTCCTTGTGCTGTGCAAGAATGATAATGGTCAAAGTACCGAGTGAGTTGAGAACGATGAAACCATGTTTACCAAAAGAGGACAGTGATGTGCCGGGATCTTCAGGAAAATGCTTGTGCCTAAACTAACAGAAATAACTCAACATGAAAACAGAAATCGGCTAATTGAACAGCCGTGTGACGATCAAGATGAAAGAAAAAAAGGTACATTTAAAAAGTCGCTGGAAAAATTGATAAAAAATCAAAGTATCTCGAACGAACATGACTTCAAAAGGCCACAGAAAAGAGCTGTTCGTAGAATCAAGTATAGACAGTTAAGGTTCAAATTAAGGTGGCCTGCAGAGCTGTATAAGCCTTATAATCCTTATAAAGGAGCGAAAAAGCAACTTCTTCCAAAAAAAAAATTATCACTAGCATCAGTGACACCAAGTAGTGCAAAGAGCTGCACAACTTTACAAACAATTGTCAATGGTAGAGACAGTGATGATAATAATAATCAAGCTCAAATACCAAACGAAACCCTAGAAAAAAGTAACGATTTCGTTCAAACTGCAAATTATGATCCGAAGTCTTTCTTTCTTCATGGCTTCGGACTGCAAATGAAGAATGCAAAAGAGTCATTAAAAGAGTCATTAAAAGAGCTGCAAAACTTTACAATCAATGATCGTCAATCGTAGAGACAGCGATAGTAACAACAATAATCAAACTAAAATACCAAACGATACCCTAGAACAAAGTAACGATTTCGCTCGAACTGAAAATTATGAACTGGAGTATCAACCATCGACGAGTACCAAAGCAGGTAAAGAGAAAGATGCACAGAAGAATTTCTGTTTGGATGGCCTCGGACTGCAAATGAATGTTGAGGAAGATGATCCAATTGCCAAAGGCAAGCCATCCAAAAGTACCAAACCGGATAAAGAGAAGTTAATAATATTACTATATATTTACACAGGGGGCCATCACATTGGCCGCTACACGGCCGCGGCTGACTGCTACTGCCACTGCCAAACAATCTCCTCGACAGTATCCACTTGGCTTCTCGCCCTTGGTATGTAAATAACTATTTCAGCCTACACGCCCGTTTGAGGCTGATTACGTTCTGAGCGTGCTCAGTGAGTAATGAATGCGTGTATAGACCAGGAGATTCGGACTTTTCGTACGCTACGCGGCCGCGGTGCTGACTGCCACTGCCACTGCCGAACAATATACCAAGAGCTTAGAAGCTGAGTGAAGCCGGCTTCTCGCCGTTGGTACGTAATTAGCTAATAAGTTGTATAGCTGAATGGAGTCCAGTGCGTGTAGTTTAGTGTAAGATCGCTAAGTTGTGCTTATGAGTTTATCAGGCAAATAAGGTCCAGTGACTAGAGTGTGTTTGGCACGTATGAGCTTGAGTTACGGGTTTGTGATAGCCTGTGAAAACAGAACGATAATAAAGTTTGTAAAGTCCTGAGCGGGCTTGTGATTTCCTTCAATTTTGTAACAGTAAATAAAGTATTTTATGCTTCTATAAATTTTTTTATGATTGTGAACAATTTTTTACCCATTTTTCTTATATTTAGGGGATTCATACACCAATTCACTCGTCTTTGTCATTTTTGTGACATAAACCACAGTTTGACGTAAATTTACATTTTCAATCTAAAATTAACATCTTTGAGCCCATGAAAAAAATGTGAAAAAAATTGCAGAATAGGCCTTTGAATCTAAACGTAGCTTATAGCGATCGACCGGTCAGAGACCGAGTCTTGACGTCACATGACGAACGTATATGCGCCCAGGCGTTATAACTGTAAGTGCCCGTCTCGCAGCTTTGCTATTTGTAAGCAAGTCGGAGCACGGCAGACTTGTGTAAGCGCGCTGACCGAGCAGACCGCTCCGCGACTACCATTAGCAATAAACCCTTTTGCAAAAATTTTCAAAATCGCGTTTACGGCATGGCGATTCTTAAAGTTCAAGTCTTTAAGAAAAAAAAGCCGGGTCAGAACCTCAAAAAAGTGTCCGGAACCGGTGCCGATCGATTTTTGAAGTTTAAAAACGAGCAAAATCGATCAACTATTCAATTTATTTCAAACTCGGTTCAGAGAGTAAAAATAATCTTAACAATACATTTTCTTATGTATTTTTATCTGCAGAATCGAATGCCGTAGTCAGTTTTGTTCTACGACTTCATTTTCGTTTTTTGCGTAAAAAGCCAGAAATCGTCTTTGCAACGTTTAAAAATGAACAGAAAAAATCTAAAATATTTTTTGACACGGTCAAAATTCAGGATTTTTTCTGACAAATCGAATACTTTAAAATTATTTTCGTTCATAAAAGTGCAAATATTCGATTTTTTTGGTTGAATTTGACGAAAAATTTTAAAAACGAGCTCTTTTTGAAAGAAAGTGCTCTTGAAAAATCCCGCTGTAACAGTTTTTTTGTATTTTTTCCTGTAAAATTCAATGACGTTGTGATTTTTGTCCTAAAACATCGTTTTCGTACAAAAAAAGGATTTGTGCGGTTATTTTTAGCTGAATTTAAGGTATAATAGCTTTGATCCGTGTTAATTCCGTACGAAAAAGAGTAGGAAAATAAATTGATGACCTTTCAGACTTTAACATAAAGTAAGCACAATTTAAACGGTTACATAAAGTAAACATAATTTAAAATCGAGCATTTAAATTGTGCGGTTCGTATGTTGAGGTGATAGTAAAGCGCCAGAGGGTAGACTGACTGCAGGCGTTGACTTTTGCATAACAGAATGCGTTACTACGTACCTCTGCCAGTGAACTTTGATTCATATGTTGTTGTTTTAAAGGCCACGTCTTTATACCTTGAAACATTTCGTTACCTTCGTT